ATAAGAAAAGCTTTGAAATGTAATAATTACCATGATAAATTATTCAGAAAGTATATAGGGAAATGTAAAAATAAAATAAATAATGACATAAGTGATAGTGATCATAATAAATATGATAATAATGACGACGAGCATGTCTAACATGTGCAGGATAATGACAACACCAACAATAAGGAATCTAAATCATCAGTAGTACTTCCATACAAGGAAGGAACCTCGAAAGCCTTACGCAGAATTTTTTGATTACAGCTTGATTCCACGCCGTAGTTTTTGGTACAAGTATGGAATTTTCAGCATGTGATATGGGTAGCCCAAATTTCGCAGGCCAACCATTGATATCAGGTATGCGTCGGCAGAGGATCGAATCCCGGACCATGTGCATGGTCGGCGAGAGTCCTAACCATTGTGCCACCGACGCAGGAATAAAAGTGGCTGGCATTGAAACCCTGTTGGAGTGACTATCAGTTCAAATACATAGCTTAGACTAATAAAATCTGGATTAATTGACCCAAATATTACAAGAAATCTAGAGAATAGTTCATCTGTAGCACTATACTACATGCGATTACACACAACCATACAATAGGCTGGATGGGATAACATGAGAGTTTTAAAATCCAATGTCACTGGGTGGAGGGAGAAATTGGTAACTGACTGAAGCTTTATTTATTTATCGAATCAACTGAGGAGAATACGTGTAATAGGAATGATTCTACATCTGTCCCAGATATCTGGAGAATTCTACTACCCCTACGACGACAAATAGGAGAGAACAAAGGAAACTATCAAACTTAAGTTTCGAATTCGTGTGGTTATAATTGCTGATATGATTATGAACAGTAATAAATTTTGTTCGAAACATTGTCATCCAGTAAATAATACTGTTTCACTCATTGTGTGATATGTCTAATAAAAAAAACTAATATGGAATTGCAATTTAATTAGGAGCAGTATGTACCTGTATTTCAATTAAAATAACATTGTTTAAAAGACTGGTGAACACTGGTCATGTGGCTGCTTTGTTTGTGTATTGTCTTTCAATATCACATTAAAATCCGAATTATTCAAGTATTCGTTTGTAGGGATTTTGTTTGATTGGTTGAAGGATTTCATCATGAGCTTAATAATTGATCTGATGATCACTAGCGACTTGGTCTATTCATGTAGGCAGTGACCTGGGTAGGGTTCTGTTGGGAGGTCGTGACCAATAGGGTACACCAGGTTGAAGGTGAGGACATTTACTCATTGAAGAAGACATTGCGAAGTGGTCACGCTATGTCGTGAGTGAATTGGCAGAAGTTAGAGTTCATGGGGTTGGCCATTGGATTAGATCCCAGTGGCTTAGTGGTATACAAGCTCGCCAGCCTTGTAACCAAAAGGTCCTGGGTTCGAACCCTAGCGGTGGGTGCGTACTGCTGGAGAGTCCCAAACTAGGCTGAAGAAATAGCTCTCCAGTACTCCCAACTGGTTTTCCAGTGGTTCTCTAACCAATGTCAGCTCATGATGAAATCCTGTAACCAATGAAATATTCTTTTGTAGATGTAGTCGCGTATGCAGCTCTCGGCAACAGATATTGGGAAATGTTTATGCGTAGTTTCATAGGCCTCTCAAAGAGTGAATGCATCTGTGCCAGTGAGAATGATTTTGAGTCCAATCACCAATAATCTCAAATCTTCGGTTCTTAGCACCCTCCTAAGGTCTCTGAACAAGACAGCTCACACTTGCCTACAAGGCTCAAACCAGTTGCCAGACACTTGATGAATAGATCCTGTGTTCTGATTTGACAACTACATCTAACTCTAATCCTACTTATATCAGCTAACATTGCTTGTCATGGAGCGTGGTGGCTTGGCATGTGTGACATATGTCATAGCCATCTCAATCAATGTAGCTTCACAATCTCATTGGTTGACTTCGCTTTCTCATCAACCACTCTACGTCTAACTTTAGTACTCTAATGACAGAAGACAAGGGCCAGGCAACAGATTGTTTATTGAGAAAATCAAGAGGTATTTTCAGAATTTTATGTACATTATTGTTAGTGGAGAAGCAACCTCTTCTGATTGGTTGTTGTTTTCTTGCTGAAGCTTCTTCTGTCGTTTCTCAGAAAATCAAGCCATATGTGTTTGAATCATATTTCCACACATTAACACCGTTGTGACTGGCTGGTGAGTTCCTCCAAGTCAAGCTTTGTTATTGCTCTTTTCCCATAATCTGATTTGGTACGTAAACATTGACGTAAAATGTTGTTTACAATTTTTGGCTTACAGTCAGCTCTCACCACAGTATTAAACAGCATATTATGCCAGTTGACACGGGAGGTGAAACCCAATGGAAACATCCGTCGTCAAAGATAGCCAACCTCTCTCCACACCTTCCACTTTTAAACGTATGAAAATGTTAATGAGCATTATAGTTACTTATTTGATTATCTCAATGTTTTACTGTATGAATTTTAATGTAGACAGCAAATTTTGATTGAGTAGTTACAAATACTACGAAAATATTTTTCTAGTTAATCAATAAGTACAGTAGAATCCCCATCAGTGATATTTATGTCATACATAAATAGTATCGTTGATATAATACGTGATGGGTTGAAAAATAAGTGCAGGTATATAAGATATCGTGTATCACACCGATTCCCATAGCACATCTTTCCTAGGCTCAATAATCATGCGTAGACTAAGCAGTCTTTGGGAGGAACAAACACGAGAGAACCAGGTCGGCTTTAGACCAGGAAGAGGGTGTATTGATCATATCTTAACTCTTCGACAGATTCTGAAACATAGGCTTCCTTACCGTTGGCGTCCAACAATCGTTATATTTCTTGATCTGAAAGCGGCATTCGATTCTGTTCACCGAGAGGTACTCTGGCGATGCTTGACTGTAAAAGGACTTCCGAGAAAATACATTGTACTGATTAAGGTACTTTACTCGAACTCATGCTTTCACCCAGATGAGAGCTTACGACGAGTTGTCATCTGAAGTCGTGATAACTAGTGGTGTCCGATAGGGATGCCCGATATCCCCATTTGTCTCTAATTTCATCAAAGATCTACTGATTGACTTAGCCTTAACTGAATTCAGTGGCTCAGGGATTCACTTGTTACCATCAGGGAATAATCTCATTGACTTGGAATATGCAGATGATATAGTTCTCCTCCCAGATAGAGACGGTGACAAAATGCAGCAGAGTCTTCTGAACACCTTGAGCTGTGCAGCAATCTTCGAATGTTTGGCATGCGATTCGCTCCCGTCAAATGCAAGATGATGCTACAGAACTGGACTACATTGACTCCTAGCTTAGAAGTAGGGAGTGAAGTGATTACAGAGCATGTTGACCACTTCACTTATTTGAAAACATGCATCAACCCCAACGGGTTGATCGCCGATGAAATCTCAGCATGGATACAAAGGGCAAGATTCCCATATGCCAGTTTACACCGTCTCTGGCATAGACGTGATATCCGGCTGGCTTTCGACCAATGGAAGTGTGTACTGCTCAGCAGTGCGCTCCGTCCTCCTTTATGGCTGTGATATCTGGCCATTGAGAGTGGAGAACATGAAAAGGCTAGCTGTCTTTGATCATAGGTGCCCGCATTCTATCTCCTGTGTGAAATGGTATAATAGGGTGAGCAATACTGAGTTGGTGAGGCATCGGTCGAGTGCTAGGTAAGGAGGGAGGGGAAATCAATAGTTGAGACCGTGAAGTTACATCGATTGAGATGATTAGGACATGTATTACACATGCATCCCTAGCTATCCATCTCCTTCCTCGACAATGGACAATGTTAGCCAACATAGAATGGATCAGGTTGGAAAACAGTTAGCTAGTGGTGGTCAAACCAAAACATGGCTTCACCAGTCAATGAAATGCACAACAGTTAGTTTAAGCCACGTAGGAAGTACTAGACTTCCTGGTTTGGGTCTTCGGGACGTTGAACACCAATGGCTTGAGACTAATGGTGATATAGCCGGCTCAAAATCGTTCTCAATAGCTGGCGCAGATGCATCCACTCCTTGTGACTTATGATTGCCAATGAAACTGTTTTGTTCTTCGTTATTACTATTCCTTATTTCACTGTACTTATACTCTACCATAGTGTCCAAGTTTTATCCTTATAAACTCGAATTGCACAAGCCTCTACAATGGCAAGCATCTTCATGTTTCTTTGTCTATTATTATTGTTATTATTATAACTATTACTATTGATATTACTCTATTTACAATTCTTGTTATATTCTCTAATGACTAATTGTTTATCTAAGTGATGTAATTGAAGCTGTTATGTACTGGTCGAGAATTTAATAGTCCTGACGCAAGAAAGACGGAAATCAGAAGACCACTAGGTTTGCGATGATACTTCTATTTTCCAAAGCACAAGGAGAATCAAAATATCACACAAGAGTGTGAGAGCAAAATAATATGAATGTCCGAACAAGTGTGTGAACGAATATTCAAAATGAACAAATCAATAGACAGTCTTAACATGATTGGCTAATTATAATGGAATATCGATCCATATATACATAGCAAAATATAACAGACTGTCAAACAAACACACATATTATATGGATACATATCAGAAGCGTAATGCAATTTATCTTAATTTCACTCTCTCATACACCCTTCTCCCACTTATCTATTTCAACATGACCTGGAGAACTTCCGCACCTGTCTTTGTGCATGACTAATTCAATGTAGTTTATTTGCTTATGAGTCTTATATCTCCCAATGTAATTTCAAAAGTATATATGCATCCGTGCATGTAGAGTATTCAGGTGACGAGTTCTACCGAATTTCGATGAATCCATCATTAAATCCTGCTTTATTAACCACATTTGTTGCTTGTTTTCAATTTGTATCGGGATATAAATGTTTTCAATTCCTGAAGAAGCTTCCTCCGAAAAGCAGTACCCTTACTCACTCTATTGATTTTATCGCTACTCCATTGTTTTTGGTTTTCAGAAATCCCCTCTCCCCTTCTCTGTCTACAATGTTAGAAAATCTAAATCCTACGCTTCATGCACCAACTAAGCCTCGGTTGAATAAACCAAGTGTTAATTTGAACGATTTTAATTGGGATGGTGAACGTGAACCAATCAATGCAGCTGAAATATTTGGTAAATTATGTTTGCCTTATTTTGTTTTAATTTTAAATTTCATTCTTCTTGTTTTCTGTTTCCAGTTGCCTTTTTCCCTTGAGGAAAACTGAAAATTTTAATTGATAGCTGACAGACTGACTAACTGGTTTCATCATATCGAACTTTGCGCTGATGTACAATAGAGAAGCGGGTAAGGAGAGATAATAAACACCAGTGTGAGAGAAATATGGAAGAATAATAGAACTTTATTGAACGTGACAAATAGCAATGACTGAATGCATCTGCACCAGCCACTGAGAACGATCACTTTGAGCCAGCCAAATCACCGATTGTCTCCGGACGCCATTGGTATTGATTCTTACCATCCCGAGGACACCAACCAACCAGTCAGTCAGAAAGTCTCCACCTCCTTTTCTACTTGACTGGATGGCTTGAACTAACTGTTGTGGCTTTCATTGGCTGATGAAGCCATGTTTTGGTTCGACCACCACTAGCTAACTGTTTTCCAACCTGATCCATTCTATGTTGGCTAACATAGTCCATTGTCGAGGAAGGCGATGGATGACTAGGCTAGACATGCGTAATACATGTTCTTACCATCGCAATCGATGTAACTGCTTCACAACCACCTCATCGATTGATTTCACCTCCCTCCTTACCTAGGACTCGACCGATGCCTCACCAACTCAATATTGCTCACTGTATTATACCACTTGACATGGGAGATAGAATGCAGACACCTATGATCAAAGACAACTAGCTAGCCAACTTTTTCATGTCTTCCACTTTCAATGGCCATGTCTCTTTCACAGTCAGCCATAAAGGATGACGGAGCGAAATTCTGAGTAGTGCACACGTCCTTTGGTAGATAGCCAGCCAGATATCATGTCTAGTAAGCCAGAGATTGCGTAGATAAAGTGGAACATAAAGCCGCAACAACACGTCTCCACTTTGTTCTATTTCTTGCGGTCCTCCTTAGCTGCCTTTACAATTGCTTACAAGGCTTCATCTCCTCGTCATGCGGTTTCCTCCTTGTAGGACTCTGAAATCATCGTTCAACTCATTGTTTCATCCGGGCGTGTCTCCAATCTCCATTTCCTTGGAAATATTTGTCAGACAGTGGGTTCTTGGTTGGTTCGTTGCCTCCCACAGCTTTCTTGTTGTTTGCTTATCCTTTCTCGTCATCTAGTCTTCAGCATAAAGCTATCAAAGGCAGTCGTTGATTAAAGGCTGCAGCAGCAGCCTGTTGCAAGTGCTTTCCGTCACGCACTCACCAGTTTTCCAAACTATACAGTAGCACTAACTGTCTTGACTTTAGTGCTGGAAATTCTGGTCTTGTTCTTTATGCTCGGTTCAGTAGAGTTTAACACATATTATGATATATATCCGTTTTTACGATTTGATCACGGCTTGATATCAGCTAGAGAACCATTTAAAACCAGTACTGGACAGCTGTTTAATGCTAGTTTGGGAATCATCGACGGTACTCACCCACTACAGGGGATTTTAACCGACTACCTTACGATTACAAGGCAAGCTAGTTCGTATACGATTCAGCCACTGCGACCCGATTCAATGGCCAGTGAATAAATTCTAACTTCTACCAATTCGTGATTTTTAACGCGACTGGCGCCAACCAATGTCATCGGTTGGAACTCTATCCTCACACTTGACATTTGAATGGACCTCAATGGTTACAACTTTTCACTAGAACTCCAGGAAACTCCATCCTGTAGCAAGTCACCACTGACGAGCATCAGATTAATTTGCATGAGTTTAGTTTGTAAGGATTAGATTTGTTTTTACGAGTTGATCACAGATGATCACCGATTATTCCCAAACTAGGAGGATGAAACAGCTATCCAGCCCACTAGTGCAGGTTTTCAATGGTTCTTCTCTAACTGATATCAATCCGTGATCAACTTGTAAAACCTAAACTAATCCTTACAAATCAACTATAAAAGATATATATCTGTCATTTTATTTCATTGATTCCCTTTTGATGTTGTACTTTTCTTTCTTCCTCTCTCTCTCTCTCGCTGTCACTCATCTACCAGATCATATCCGTGATATTCAAGATCCTGAACATCCGCATAGTCTTGAAGTGCTCGGTGTATTAAACGATGAATGGATTCATGTGAATGATGAGGAAAGTTGGGTTTGTGTTGAATATTCACCGACTATACCCGGTTGCAGTATGGCTACACTTATCGGATTAGCAATTAAAGTGAAGTTGATTCGATCACTTCCACGACGATTTAAAGTAAGTTAGCGTAATTGGAGTTTTTTTTTTACCACAATAAAAACAAATTACCTCAGCTGTTGAATCTATGACAAAAATATTTTGTACTATTTAAATGGTGGAATGGCTTGTCAATCACGAGAGATAGATAGGTCCTCGTTCGATTCCCAGCTGAAACACTGCAATAAACTCGCTTAATTTACAAGCTGGTAGTATTTTCCGGAAAGAGCGAAGGTTAGTGGGTTACGTGAAAGTCTGCAGTAGCCTTCTGGAAATGTTTTTTTGGGGGGAGGGGGTGGGACACACATTAAGTCTGCCGACCACATAGAAACTCTAATTGACTTTTGGGTGATGTGATACAAGACAATGTGTGCCAACGGAATGTTATTCTAAGATGTTCACACAGTTCAGTTCGGCATTAACAACAGAATACGATATATTTATTTGAACATTCTATTGCTTGTTGTTTGATGTAAACCGAAATCGGTGATTGGTTAAAGAATATTAACTGTATATATATATATATATATATATATATATATATATATATATATATATATATATATATATATATATATATATATATATATGCGTCGGTGGCACAGTGGTTAGGACTGTCGCCGACCATGCACATGGAAGGACTTCGAGGCTGTTGCACATTTGAGTAGCATTCAACAGCCGTCAGCGAATAGGCTGTTTTACCTGGAACGCTGATGGGAGGTCGGGTGACAGCAACATATGATATTGTGAGGCGAAACACCAGCGAACACGAGCCAGGGTCGCACAAATTGCTTCCAAAATGGGAAGGGCCATACATGGTCACCGTGAGACGGGGTCACATGTATACAATCAAACAAAGTGGAGTGGGTGAACGTCAGCCAGCTCCGGAACTCGATACAGCAAGACAAGCTAACAAAGCCGCCAGCACCAAGAAGATCGAACCAACTTCAGTCGAAAGTTTTTGACGGCATGGGGGGTGCGAGTGTGGTGGTGTGATACAGACAATGTGTTCCTACGGAATATTGTTCTCACATATTCCCACAGTTCATTATTCCATTGGCAACAGAATACTATGTATATTTAAACATTCTATTTCATATCGTTTGATGTCGGCCGAAATCACACTCTCAGGGATTAGTTAAGAGATATAAACTGTAGTTATATTTGATCAATTAAGAATACATACTTTGGCTCCCGTGTCTTGCCTTCTGTTGTTACAACTTGACGTAAGTCTTAGAAATCTGGATCTTGTTTGTCTACGCTGAGTGCAGCAGATTTCCGCGTTTTAACCTTCTGTTCATCATAAGGAATCTTCTTTCCAGTTAGACTGCACAACTCCATATTAGTTTGTTTATTAGATGTATCACACACAGTGAGTGAAACAGTATTATTATTATTTCCTGGATGACAATGTTTCGAAGAAGATTTACTTATTTTTCATAATCATGTCAGCAATTATAACGACACGATTTCGAAACTTGAGTTTTATAGTTTTCTTTGTTCTCTCCTGTTTGTCGTCGTAAGGGTATTAGGATTTCACAGATATCTGGGTGGGCAGGTGTTGAACCATTCCTATCATACGTGTTTGCATTCGATTCAATAAACAAAGCTTCTGTTATCAATCTCTCCCTCCATCTTGCTGTTACCTTAAATTTTAAAACTGTCATCTTATCCCATCGTATTGTATGGTTGTGTGTAATTGCATGTGGTGGAGTGCTATAGCTGAACTATCCTGTTCTTCAGATTTCTTACCTTATTTGGGTCAACCAATCTAGATTTTGCTAGGTTTTTATGTTCGGCTAATCTGACTGCCCCTGTTCTACTAGTTTGACCTGACAATCATCGCAGTCAGGGTATTAGATAAAATAAATTGTTTTGTTTTAATGGCTCCACAGGACTGATACTTTAACCAACAAAGTTTGTTTCCAATTCAGTTTGTGGGTTTGAATGCCAGCCACTTTTCTTCCCGCCTTGTTAAGAATTTAGCATAAGGTTTCTGAGGTTCCTTCCTCGTATGGAGTTACTACTGATGATTTAGATTCTTTATTGTTGATGTTGTCATTATCCTGTGCATGTTTGACATGCATGTCGTCATTAATATTACTACTACTATTATTATTAATAATTTTATTTTTACATTTCCCTACATAATTTCTGACTAATTTATCAGGATAATTATTAAGTTTCAAAGCTTCTCTTATATGTCTCACTTCATGTCTCAGATTTTCCTTGGTACTGCTTAGTTTTTGTGCTCTGTCACTTAAACATTTATCAAAATCAAGTCTCGAAGTCGTTTGATTATAACTGATGATATGATTATGAACAGTGATACATTTTTTTTGAAACATTGTCATCCAGTAAATAATAATAATAATACTGTTTCACTCAATCACTGTGTGATATATCTAATAAAGAAACTAATATGGAATTACTACCACAGTGCCCAAGTCTCACGCATATGTTAATAAGACTGGACAACTAACATAAGTGATGTTTCAATAGTCTTTGTTTCCATTTCACTTATTACAATCGAGTCGTAAATTGTTGTAATTGTATATAACGGCAGAAGATACTGGTATTTGATAACAGAATTGACCTTTTTTCGCAAAATGATCGATATACAGTGTAGGTAAAAATACAGAAATATGTATATATACATATATACACTGAGATGAAATAACTGTATTTTTTTATTTGATTATACGTTGAGTAACTAGTGTCATGTATGTCTAGCCCTTTGCTTTATGTAGACTGAATTGTATCAGTCAAGTGTGTGATGTGGTCACGAACAAGGTAGGCGGCTCGCCGCCATCTCACTGCACTTTTTGAATTATTGTGTTAAATCTTTGGAGGAAATTTGTAGGAAGTCTTCGAACTAGGTTTTATGCTTGTTGATTAGCACTCAGCAAGGCGTATTTGCTGGATCCAACAATGTCAATTCTGAGATTCAAACCCTGGTCACCTGGTGCTGCTTGCTGTCAGAAACTGTACCACTTAGCTATCCAGGCTGGCCATCGACCTCTTATAGAACTATAATGGATACTTCGACTTAACACTAGATAGTAATTCTTTTGGTGCAGACATTGCAAAAAACAAATGATCAGATACATTACACTGGTTACTAACTAGTGTTCGTATGAAAAGGGGAAGACGTTCAGCGAAGAGACTCTTTTCAATGGCGAATTCATTCACATAGCTGTACAATCGCATTTATATATAATTATTTTTGTGGGTATGTGTGTACATGAAGTTTATCAAGTTAAGATAATTGATCAGGTAATAAAAGAATGATCTAATATAGAAACAAGGTTAATTAGACAGCAGCTAAAGTAAGATTGAGTTAGTTAGTAAGTTAGGTGGACGACGTAATATAATTGACTAAAGTGTTTCAACTTAGGTCAAGGTAACAACAGAGGTAATTACAGGTAGAGAGACAGACTAAGTAGAAGTGGGGTAGAGAATAATTCCATTTCAATTAGGACTGAAATTGAGCAAATAAGTTGGATGACGTAACATAAATGAGTGACTAGAAATTGAGCGTTGGTCAAGTCAGTAACAGTGGTAGTGAGGTGTAGAAATTAAATAGGATGGAGGGGGAGAACAGGAAAGTTGAAAATTTAAGATATTACAACTGTAAAGACAAAATGATACTAGTGAAGAGACAGGAATAAGTAGAATTTACCTGTCGGGTATTAAGACAGATTACGTCCATTGCAAATGTAGTGATTGAACGAACTTCTTCTGGATACAGAGCTCAGGACTTAGCAAGTGAACTGAACATTGCTTCTGCAGTTTGGAGAAGTTTGACTCGTACACTTTTAGGAAATCTGCTTCGTATTCTGTAGATGACTTTAAAGTTTGCTTGGGGTGTAGCTTTGTGTCCGGAATCTATCAGGTATTTTAAGACCAATGCTCAATCTCTAGTCATTTGTGTTACGTCATCCAACTTATTTGCTCAATTTCAGTCCTAATTGAAATGGAATTATTCTCTACCCCACTTCTACTTAGTCTGTCTCTCTACCTGTAATTACCTCTGTTGTTACCCTGACCTAAGTTGAAACATTTTAGTCAATTATATTACGTCGTCCACCTAACTTACTAACTAACTCAATCTTACTTTAGCTGCTGTCTAATTAACCTTGTTTCTATATTAGATGATTCTTGTATTACCTGATTACTTGACAAACCTCATGTACATACACAGTCACACAAAAATGATTATATGTAAATGCGATTGTACAGCTATGTGAATGAATTCGCCATTGAAAAGAGTCTCTTCACTGAGCGTCTTCTCTTTTTCATATGACTCGATGGGGACTTTTAAACTAGTGTTCAATCAAAGTATCCAATAGGGTAGTCCTACAAGACGTCAATCGCCATCCCGAATATCTCAGGGGTAATGTCTCTGATTGCAGGTAGCACCGGATGACGCCGGTTCAGATCTCAGTAGGGACATCGTTATTTCCTTCAATATTGCAGACACACCTTACTGACTGGTGAATCGCAAAAATAACGAAACTGAGGTCCATGGCTTCCTGTCACCGGTTGCCTCCAACCATCTAACAATGACAATAATTCGAATACATCCTGATGGTAAGCCACATAGCTTGTTGGTGACCATATTTTCAAATTGACTGGTACAATCCAATCTGAATCAAGCGTAGGAACTAGACGGATAACTAAGTCCTTAGTGCGTCCATGTTGAAGGGTTAATCAAGAAATCAAAAAAATGTTATCACAGTAGGAGTAGTTGAGTTATAAGTTATATACTTATAAGCGTATTACATTACTGATTATCACTACTTGGTTGGCATTCAATCCCAGTCTTCATCATCATTAATATTAATTTTTTTTTGTCACAAATTTCTTCCCTTTTATAGATTGAAGTCAAAGTGAAACCAGGTACTCATGATACAGAAGATGACATCAATAAACAACTTGCTGATAAAGAACGCGTTGCAGCAGCCTTGGAGAATCCTGCACTAGTTAAACTGGTCAATAACTGTTTAACTGTGCCGAGCGATTGAGATGCTGCTACACTCGCAGCTATTGGCCTGTCTAACGGAGAGTTAGACCAACAGACAGACAAACAGGATACACATCGAACTTCTTATGCTTCATAAATGATTCATCTATACACTTGGCGTTATTCAAATGATTTACGTTTTTACTTTTAAATAAATTTGTAAATAAAATAATTGAGCAAAGAATATCCTTGTCGATAATTTCCCCCAGTGGCTCAATGGTCTACGAGCTCGCCTTGTAACCAGAAGGTCCTGGGTTCGAATCCCGGTGGGTGCGTACTGCTGAGGAGTCCCAAACTAGGACGAAACGGCTGTCCAGTACTCCCAGGTTTTCCAGTGGTTCTCTAACTGATGTCAGCTCATGATTAAATCCTCCATGCAATCAAACAAAATCCCTACAAAAACCAATACTTGATAATATCAATTTGTTAAGTAAGATCGCATGCTTAAATTATAATAATGATAAAAATATAATAGTAAATAGAATATCAACTAAAATTAAGGAAACTTCCACACCGAATTCAGGATCATTAAAACTTTGATTGACGGCCAAGGAGACAAGGACAGTCTCTGGACACATAAATTAGGCTTCTTAATGTGGATCCCAACGGCCTCAGGAATATTTAATAGACGAACTCTTAAGGTGAAGTCAAGACTTGTTGGTATGCGGTAAATGAGACTTTGAAAGCTGCCCCGTTGACACTAATCTTGTGTTCTGTATCCACAATGTGAATGGATTTTGTTTACTTAGTCAACCACGCAGGATGATGTTCGGAAATCCGACGAGAAAAACGCCCAACTGTACAGCCTATGTAACCAACTGACTCCATAGGAGCAGTTAAATTGGTTTATACACATGGAAGAGGAGGAGGTAAGGAGTTTGTCTTTTACTCTCAAACTTAAAAGTGGAGTGGTTTTGAAGACACAGCGAAGTTCAACAACATAGAATCCTCTTTTTACCACATTTCTAAACTATTGTGTTAGTATCTCGTTGATGTTGTCTCCAAGGAATTGTATTTGTAAGACTAAGGCCTTTTTAAGAACAGTTTGTACCTTGGGATGCTTTGATTTTAGATTCATATTCTTGTCAATTGAATTTTCTGGACCACTGTCTTCACTCAGCGACCGTTTAATATTATTAAGTCCCTCATCAAGACATCCATTCGAGCAGATTGCTCTTGCTCTGTAAACCAAGCACTTTATCAGATTGCGTTTGTATGAAGCTGAAAAAATGAGTATACTGACAACATCAAGTGCGAATGATGAGATTATGCATCAGACTGTACGTTGGCATTGAGGAGACAGGAGTAAGGTGAACCACCGATGTAAAATCAATTCAATTCCCATCCTTGAATCAAGTCAACCTGTCCCGGATCACCCTAGAGTTGTTGCAACCCAATTACCCATGCCTAACGTGTCTATCCCTGCTTGTTTAATGAACTGTGTGTATGTGTTTTTACTTCGATCCGTTTAGTCAGACAGTTGAACTCATGACCCAATCAGAGTATTTTGTGAACTGTTATTTTTGCTGACCCATGTCTTACTTTGTACTATTCTGTCGAGTTTATCTTATTTATCGATCTTCATCTGTATCAGCCTACCTGGTTAAGTAGCCAATTAAATTCTATCTTTGTGCCTATGCTTTGTCTATCTCTTAACCTGTCTTACTTGGGTTCATTCTTCTACTGACTGCTTACCTGAACGGTCGTGTCTGGTTCCGGCTAGTTCGCAATTTTGGTTTTAACGTTATTCCGCTCTAATAGCGGTACCTTGCTTTCTGTTAAGCGTTGTGCTTTGTACTCTTGAAACCGTTAAGGTTTGTTGTATATATAATTATTGATTTGTTTATTAATAGTAGCGTAGAAACAGTGACCGGCTTCTTGTTTGTCCTGGAATGGGATAGCCTTTATCTATGCGTGACTTAATTTCAAGCGATATTGCGCTAACAGCATCCTTTACACTTTGTCTCACCAACTCAGTATGTAATTTAATTTAATAATTTATTTTACTTTATTCCAAAAGCTGTACTTATAATACAGAATGGAATTCTCAGCATTTGTCACAATATTACATCTGATTTACTCAAAATATATATAAAATTAAAAATTTAAAACAAAATTAACCAGAGGAATTTGTCCACGCTTACGATATAAAGTGAAAAATATTTTAAGCACGAACTGAGATCATTAAATATTAATAATAATAAATGTAGAGGCTGTTAGAGTTCGACTAACCATTTGGCTACGGGATGGTATGATGAATTTGACGTATCTAATACTGGTCGAAGTGGTACACCATTTTTGTGCACTTTAGATGATCCATATAATCTCGGTGTTAACGTAATTGTGGGTTTCAGTGATGTATACTGACTTTGTGAGATAAAGCCCTGTTGTGTTCAGTCTTCTCAATGATTCTTATAACAGTTTCTCTATCTTTTCAATCGAATCCAGAGAAGAGGAGATTTTTTTGAGGCAAAGTTTAAGAATGGAGTCCCAAGAGATGCGAACGCACAATGACCTTGAGCCGACCAATAAGAAAATAGGAGGAATTTTGCATAAAATTTAACGTATATTTACACAAAAATGCATGAAAAAAACATTAAACGGATTATATTTCTCTGATATGACTTAAAAATACGTTCCAGTTGCGATGAAGAGTATCAGTTGCTAATTTGGACTAGTTTCTGTAGATGTATTCACCAAAGAGACTGAAGGTGTGCTGTTTTGGGAATGGTTCATCTCTCTTCTCTTGCTGTGTAGTCCTCTCCTCAGCCCTCGGTTTAGTTACTATGGTTCCAGTAAGAGCATTGGCGACTACATACAAGGGAAATAAGGATAACAAAAGAACTTGAAATAAACGAAAAATCTATTCCTAATCGCTACCCTAACCCCTAAACCATAACCCTAAACCCTAACCCTAATTCTAACCCTAAACCTAACCCTAACCACAATACTCGCCTTAACCCCTATCCTAACCCTAACGAGATGTTAACACATTGTCCAAACAGTAATAAAAGTGTTATCTGGGTGAAACTTGCTCCTTATTTGATGAATAGGGTTGATATTTCAGCTATGATAATGACAGGAACCGTTAGCCAACGACTAGCATGCGTTCAAGGTCATTTGAGCGTTGAAGGTTTTGGGACCCTATTCTTAAACTTCGCCTTTTTTGAATTTTGGATTATCATTAAGAATAGTATTCATGTTGCTTAACTGGCTAGGGATCGTGTATGGACAGCTGTACGTAGCGCGAAAGCGTAAGTGCGCGTTTGACGGCGGACCTTCAGCCTAATGAATCCATTTAAACAGTGAAGGTCAGCATCCAATGTTCAGAGAAGAATGAAGTGTGCTAGTAATTTTGAGGAATTATTTACCGCTACAAGCTTATTAGCTATCAGTTGTTTCATGGATGGGGAAATTGAAACAAGGGAAACACAACTCGCTCAGTTTTTGATATTACCACATACCTTAGTATGTGCGCACGACACTGTTACGTAGAAATGTCCCTTTCCAAGTGCTATGCTTCTAATTACTGTAAGTATAGGCACTAAGGTGGAATGAAATTCCATGTTAGAAAACTTTATTTATTAAATATCACTCAGCGATGATACAGTATTAACTGGATGACTTTTCGAGCACAAATTGTCGCTGCTTATAGTCATTCCAAGGTATTTAAACAACTTTCTTGCTTCCTTTATATACATCAGTAAAACTGATCATACACATGAACAAATTATTAGGGAGTTGCCATGGTGTTTTAATTTCAATTTATACTATTTGCATACTTTTAAATCAGTTTTGCACTGTCAAATTTGAGGGAGGGGCACGCTCTACCAGTTCTGTTATATTCTTGAACTTTGTTACATCCGCTGCAGTTTATAACAGAAAATGTTGCACAATGGTGGTATCCGTGCATTCTAATGCGTTAATAATCCATGCAGTAATTTCAAAAATTAAACTTGTATTATTGAATTTGCACGGAATCAAGCTAGTATATTTTTGCCTATTTACTGAAACACCTTAATTCTCATCGGCTAAAAGTGGACTCACTTCTTGAAAGGGATATGGCGTATAATCGCCTGCGAAACACTATCGTCACATTGTAGAGGACAGACTATTCACGATCTACACACTCCACAAGCCTCTCGCTTAAGCGCTCAACTTGGTAACGGACAAATCCTTACCACACGATATTCTTCATTTAAACTTCAGAAAAGCAATAGCCAGTCGAAACGGTTTCACGTCTCAGATTACCGACAATCTGTCAGAACAGTTTATTATGTGATAATTTAACCAACCATAAATTAGGATAAAATACACAAGTGTAGTGTGATTTTCCTCAATGAAAACGTCCGTTATTTAGTCTCTCGGCTTTTTAACTGTCACGCTACATTTACTCAGTTACATAAAACTCTTATTTTTATGGAGTTTCTTGCCAAAAAGTTGTTGAACTTATTGTAATTATTTGCTTTTCGAACGCTGGATCTGTGGATGACCGATAATACTTATAACTATACGCTCGCCCTTATGTGCCTGTCTAACATTAACTAATATCTATAATCGTATATATTGATGGATTTACTTGTCTAAGTCGGCTCAAGTTAGTCAGGCTGTGATTTCGATATCATTTTTGTTAACAGTATTTGAATGTGATAATACTGCTGTTGTTGTCGCTACCATTCCTGTTGTGAATTATTTTCCTTTGCTGGTATTGTTCTGACTGCCTTATTCCTTGTTTTCCTGATCTTCAAGGGAGCAGCCCACAGCGTCACTCCTCTGTAAACTATATTTTAATGTGGCAACTCCCTTCTCAGGCGTGAGGCCAGCAACCCCACCCCGTAATCAGAGTTGCTACAAAAACTTCAGCATGACGAATCTCCCTGTGCCAAGAGAAGAAGTCTTTGTGGGGACATGGAATGTCCGCACGATCTACGAAATCGGCAAAGCTGCCCAGATCACAGACGAAATGAGAAGATACAGAATTCAAGTACTGGGAATATGTGAAAGCAGATGGAACGGAAATGGGTTCACCAAATTGTCAACGGGAGAGTCAGCGATCTACTCCAGTCACCCAGAAGACAACCACACGCACACCGAGGGCGTGGCTATCATGGCGTCACCGACGGCGACGAAGGCCCTGGTGCGGTTGGAGGCGATCTCGCCCAAAATAATGACCACCGTTTCAACTCAAAGGGAAGAACGCCTCAGTTACACAATTCTATGCATCCATAAACAACGCAGACCTCGTAAAGAAAGAATAATTCTACAGACAACTACAGGCAACAATGGACAATGCTCCATCTGGTGACATTAAAATACTAATGGGAGACATGAACGCCAAACTGGGACCAGACAACACAGGAAGCGAACTCATCATGGGTAGAGAAGCTCTCGGAGAAATGAATGAAAACGGAGAACTCTTCGCCGACTTCTGCGCCTTCAATTAACTAGTGATTGGTGGCAGAGTATGCAAACACAAAATATCCACAAGGCTACATGGGTGTCACCAGATGGGCGAAACAGAAAACGGACTGACTTCATCTCAGTCTCAAAGAAGTGGAGGCGCAGCCTACTGGACACAAAAGCAAGAAGAGGAGCAGACGTTGGCTCAGACCACAATGCAAAATGTATGTAATTCATTAGTCGAGTTATTCATACTCAAAGGCTTTGGACAACGTGGAAGTGGTACATTCGCACCATTTCAGAACTATGCGGAAATTTGATCTAGACGTTGCTTTCCCTCTTAGGTATTTCGTCATTCTAACCAAAACTCGATTTGCATAATCTTTGTGGTAGTTGTTAGTCCCGTAAGATTATGAGTATCAAGCAGCCTAAAGGTTCATAGAAAGAGGAAATCACTGACGAAATTCCACTCCTGGTTATGGGCTCATCAGGTATATGGCTTTTATAAACAAAAGAATCTTCCTTTGAGTCCCATAAGAAACCTAATGTGAGTACAGGGGGGTATTTCTCAAAGTCTATTTCTGTCATTGTTGGTGCCAGTTCCTCTGACTGTGTAGGCTCCGCTACTTGCATGGCATTCCTGACCAATCTCATCAGTCTAAAACCTCCCTTCGCAAGAATGGACGACATCTGTCCAACTTTGAAAGTGACCTATTTAAGATTATCTGCTGATGTTTAGTAGTCATCTACACAGAAACACTCTTCCACAAGTCTGGTGACTATACCTGATCTTTCCTTACCAGTGGTCTCAGCAGTCTTTTTTAAGGCATAATTGGCACAAAAAGAAGATGTTACAGCACCGAATTGATGAACCGGTAATTCATAGTTATCATCCCCTTGTGCTATATCACCATCCTCTCACCACAATAGGCGGAATACCACTCCATCCAGTCCCAAAATCTTTAAGTGCAAAAACATTCGCTGTGTGATAGTATTAAACGCTACAACACCAACTTGGGAGCATAAAAGTATCTCAACTAAACTGCTGACAATATTTGGTCGTTCAGAGATCACTCAAAGATATACCACCATGTGCAGCAGCACAGGCAGGAACTACTCGAAGTTTTTCAGACATTTTAGGGTCCATAAGCAGACGGTGAAGTATATACGACTGTGTTCTTTCCAGACGAGCACGCACTTTCGCCGGTCCGATGGTGTATTCTTTCCATAAATGCTTCACCATGACTTCTTTATATCTATTCAGTAGGCTACAGTCTTCAGAAATACGTCTTCTGGGACACTCCAGTCTGTGGATCAGCACCGCGAAATTGTCTGGTGGATCAGAACGATCATATTCCTATGGTGGTCGTACCTTATGGTGGCCATCGAAAAGTCTGGAGGAACCAAAAACCACCTCCAGAGCCATTCTCCCCCCACTTGGACTGTTCATATCTTTAAATTCTTGATTATATGGTCTTTGAAGAGTGCTCAGTATTTCGCTGGCACTCCAAGCAGGACAACATAAAACATTGTTCGCCGATCCAAAACGTTGTTCTGGACCTGAAGTGATCCAACTCAAATCAGTTGTAACAGCAAACGGCTGCTCCCTCCCTCCGAATCGTCGCTCCGAAACCCAGTGTGCTTCTGGAATATAGTGTAATATTATTCGTGTAAATATAGAATTTTCATGATTAACACACCCTTCGTACAACCATGGCCATATTTGACGAATACAATTTTAAACTGAACACTGTTTTATGGCGTTAATATTAAAAGAGAAAGAAAAATCAAATAACTAGTAATGTTTACTTTTAGTTGAGTAGGTCATAAGATATTGATTTAAGTTTGATTTTAAATCTTTAATATATTTATAGCCTATCAGTTTCACGTGGCAATTACAGCAGGTTATTTTATTGGAAAATAAGAAGTATGATATTCAAGTACTAGAGCAAGACATATAGAATGCAGAACTGACAGTCATTTTCACTTGGTCAGTCATAAGTGTTTGAAAATTTATATAATTCCACAATACCTGGTAAGTACGGGATTATTTTGGTACCAGCAAATACAGGGGCCCAGCTTTGCGATCATAAACACATTTCATGAAGAAGGTTGTTGCGTTACTCATCATATGTGCTAACAATAATCTGAATATCTGCCTAATGTAAGTTCTGGTGATATGAAAACTCCGTTTAAGTAATACAAACGTAGAAAGCAACATTACCGTACACATGTAGCGCTCCAATGCATTATGTCCGAAAAGAGAAGACAGAAGAAGACAGTAAAAGAGGTGCAGACGCAGCCGGTAAATATTAATAATTTGAACAAATAGTATTTGATGAACGCGGCGTTCATTGCCTTTTTAATTACCAAGAATTTATAGTCATTGAATTTTATAGCGTTACGTACTAACGGTTAGTACAAATTTGTGGCAGAAGGCACCGTCAATTCCTCCTGGTGCGCCAAGCAAATGCACAAATGCCCCTTCTCTCAGATTTTATCGGAATTTATAAATCGGTTTGAAAGATGTATCAGAAGCCTACGACTGTTTGCTGTGTGTAGTAACATAGGCGAAATAACGCCTCTTTATTTTCATTTGCCCAGCCAGGACTGGAGGTTTCCCCAGAAGCAACAGGGCATGTTTCTCAGTCGGAGCCCCGTATGTCTTGCTCCATAATAGCAGGTGAACATACGAGTACACACCAAATAGAACGATCGGGATAACAACTCTTTAACACCAGCTGATGACTTGATCAAGTTATTCGTGGAGTGACAGCAAAAATGATTTCTTCAACGGCCACGTCGACTGGTTTTCAACGATCTCACTGATAGCCACATCACTGGTAACATGTGGATCTGTAACTTATCTCGGGAAAGGACCAATCAGAGGTCTTATATTTAGACAAACAAAAAAATTAACCATCATATAACCTAGGTCGTCGACCCATGTTTTCATTTTTTGTTATCTTGAGTGGGTGTTCTTTACTGGCTCACACTTGCTTTGTGTTCTCCATCGAATAGCCGTTACCTTGCTCTGGTGGTTGAGTGGCAATACTAGTGATCACCATGTCTGTTACTATCCCGGGAATCCTTGTCAGTTTGACTTAGCTGTGGTGAAATATGAAGACCGGATTATAAATTTCAGCCCAACAATTTTAGCTACCTTATCCTGTGTAGCTAGGCCAGGTATCCTACGGGTTGTACTCTATCGAGGACACAGAACTTCCCAATGTTAAATGGCAAAGGAATGTGGGAATCGGCCCCACCCGTGGTTTGAAAATGACTGTGTATTGTAATACAACTGAGGCTTTCGATTGCTGTGTACACTTCGAACGGCATCCGGACGACTAGATGAATATGTGTTCAGAGTGCTGTACGCAACATATGCCAGGTCTCATCAAGAGCAATGTATATAGGAAGCTAGTCCACGCCTCAATAAAGTCCCTACCCCATGCACTGTTTCCAAGAAATGTGTTTTGGAAAATGACATCATGGAAAGGTACTGAAACCATGGACGAATAAAAACGTATGGAATTCAGATCCCCTCATAAGAATGTCGACGACTGGCGTTCCTTACCCTGCCAAGTACTATCAGCTCTATCATTGAACGCTTTCAAAGAAAAATGGGAAGTCAGCACAGATATATGTTGCAAGGATTAGAACAGCACAAGAGTCTACTAACCTTACTGTCTGCATCTGTAATAGTCCTTCAAAGTTTGAGTAGAGCGTGGCTTAAAACTTCGGGAAAAATAATATTTACAGAACCTAACAAATAGAACTATCTAAATGTATTCTGTTAAAGGGAAACTGGCTACAGCTAAGGGGAGTATTGCTGTTCCTTAAACACTTTGAATAAACTACACTGAGCATCCTCTTAGCCGCTACTTTCAGATTTTTCGCTACACCAAGGCCACGTTTTGTGGCTATGATCAACCCAAAGAAACCACCCAAAGAAGGGACGAAAAGCGAAAAGTTCATTCATGAGGAAAATATACGGACGCTGAGGTTTTACCGTTACTTATTTCTTGCTTCTTATGTGAGTAAACACTCCCACGTTATTTTTAAAATACCAATGTTATTTATCTATTTTGATTACTTTCATAATCTATTTCATCTTAAGACTCATTTAAGACGTATTTATCTTAGATATTGCAGTTCTCAAACGAAGGTTGTAGTTATCGTAGGAACTTTCAAGTAGAAATGAGGCTAATGTTCAATAACTACACAGAATATCTTTGCAGCTTATTGACAATTCATAATTGTAGCATGAAATTTCGGTGTTTTCCCTTATATACTATGCTATTTAGCAACCAGTCACAAGTGTCTTAAAGTTGGAGATTTCTTTTGACGACGACACCGGAGGATTAACTGATGAAGGGATCAACTCCATTCACAGTAGGAGGAAATTCTTAACACACTGCATACCGCAAACAACATGTAGTTAATCCCAGACCTACTCCTTTTGGAGTCAACCAAAGCCACGACATTCGAGTAGCGGGACGAACTACGCAGAAGTTTACCGAAGGCCAGGAATTTTTTACCTCGCAATCAAGAAGCGAACACAAAGATTTCAGATTCAGATTTATTGGTTGAGGATAGAAGGCTTGCAGCCTATGTTAATCCTTTTCTAGTAGATTTCTGTGGTTGTCCAAACCCTTCTTGAACGAATCAGTTGAGGTTGCAGACACCACTTCTTCTGGGAGTCGGTTCCAAGAGTTTTTGACTCGATGTGAGAACCAGTACTCAGCAGCAATATGATTTCTCCCTGGCTTTTGAACTTTCCTGCTATATCCTCTAAGGTGTTCCGACCTGGTGGGAAGGAAAAGAGAAAATAGGTCAGGTCCGTAGTCGTTATTTTAAATTTTAAACATTGTGAATAAATCTCCTCTCTGCCTACGGTATGACAGTGAGAAGAGATTTAAACTACCTAGTCTTTCCTCGTATGATAAGTTAGCTATGCCGTGAACCATACGTGTTGCCTTCCTTTGAACACTTTCTAGAATGTGTGAATCCCCTTTTAGACAAGGGCTAGCGGCCTGGATGCAGTTTTCCAGTCTTGACCTAACCAGAGATGTGTATAAGGAGGTGAACATATCTCTGGTAATTCTTGTAAAGGCTCTGCGAATCGCCCATAAGGACCTGAAACTACGTGCAGCCACCGCGCGACAGTGTTCTGTAGTTTTTAAGTCGTGGCTAACTATGACACCTAAGTCCAAGTGAGTCTGAACTGATGGAAGTGTTATTCCCTCTAGTTCGTAGGAGCTCGTGCTTGCTTGTCCAATGCGCATGGCTGCACATTTTGCCACATTGATCGGGAGCATCCATTCAACAGACCACTCCGACAATTTGTTGAGGTCCTCTTGCAACGTGAGCCTATCACTGTTGCTCTTCAGCTCTCTCCAAATTTTTAAGTCATCTGCGTATAGGATCATAGTCAAATTGGTCTGCACTATCTCCTAAAAACGATATTGAGCGGTTGATACCTCACTATTTAGGTTACGCAGGCTAAATAATGAATATTTCAGTTTAAATTCTAATGTCAGGGAATATTTGTTTTCATTGCACGTCGTTGTTTTGTGCTTCATTTTGTCCGGTGGTGTACAAACGCTATGCAATAATATTGATCATTCTCTTAGACATATTCAAAATACAGTGGCTTTCTTTTTAGTCTTGTCAGCTAAGGAATTTTATTTGAACCGAGTTATACGATACTACTAACGTCCACTTATTATAGGAATCAAGTCTAGCAGAATTACAGGACCTAGTTTCTTTACTTTCAAAATCATGAGACAAAGGCGAATTCACTCCGCTCTGTTTGTTTCCTTCCCCCTCTCTCTACATATATATGTGTATTGCCGCCTCCAGTGGTGATCTAACCCATTCCCATAAAAAATTTAAAAGACTGAGTAGTGGGTAAAATAAATATTCTTTTCGATGAGTTTGTCATTAGATTCTACATCTATATGACATTAAATCAGTAGTACTGACGGATGACATTTCAAAAGCATCATTAAAATATAATATGCATTAATATAAGACTAACCTAAGTACCAGATAAATTAAGGAAAGTAAAACGAGCAATTTTTGAATTTACAGATTCGACAGCAGGCCAGAGTAGCCATATTGGCTCGACCTGCTTCTTCCTCACATTCGGCTCTAGTTGTTTAAGGCGAATCGCAATAGCCTCTGCTGTTTGCAGTGTAAAGTATTCAGGGGTATTTGGTAATGTCTTTGATGCCCACTGGGTGACAGAGAAAGACTCTCTTCAATGTTAGTTTTGTGATCTGTTTGCACAAAGGGGTCTAATACCGAACTGTTGACAATTTTAAAAACTTTATTTAACCACACCGGTAGGCGTTCCAAAGCACGAAAAATGAGGTTCCCAGAGCAACAGCCAATATAACTAGCTCCACAGAAGTTCTTGAATTGATGGATACAGTGAAAGGTTGCCAGCCTAGATGCTCCATCTCTTATTATCGGAATTACAACTGATTGTGTGACTGATGTAAGCTACGATTCTCTGGCATTAAACGTTCATGAAATCGATTTTCTGAACTAACTAGTTTTTATTTCACTTAGTATATCACCTTTGAATTGTAGTCGTATATATATAGAGAAGAATTCTCTCCTGCTTTCTTGGTCATGTGATTATTGATGAACTTTTCAGGTTATCTATCTGTTTTCGACATAGAACTTTGCATCAATGTGCGGCACTTCAAGTCGCCACACTCCCTCCATGTAGCACACAAAGCAAGAGAAGAAAGTAGAAGAAATGCATAATAGAGACTGTTAACAGAGGTGTGAGACAAAGGAATAGTAATAACGAAGAACAATATGGTTTTATTGGAAATCATAGTCACAAGGAGGAGATGCATCTGCGCCAGCCAGCCATTCAGAACGAATTTGAGCCATATCACCAATTGTTTCCACCTAATGGTTTTTACCGTCCCAAGGACCCCAACCAGTCAAGAAGTCTACACCTTCCTACGTGGTTGGCTTAAACTAACTGTTGTAGATTTCATTGACTGGTGTCTAGCTATCTTCCAGCCTGACCGTATGTCAGCTAACATTGCCTGTCGAGGAAGGTAATGACTAGGCATATGTAACACATGTCCTAACCATCTCAGTCGATGTAATTTCACAGCCTCATAGATCAATTTTCCCTCTTTACCTAGCACTCCACCTATGCCTAACCTCAATATTGCTCACCATATTATACCACTTCACACTGGAGATAGAACGCAGGCACCTGTGACCAGGTTACCTGCTTTCACTTAACATGTTGTATACAACCTTAAGTTAAGTCTTCACTCGTATCCTCTGAACAAATAACTTTAACCGTAATATAGCTGGGAGTCTGCCATATTTCTTCTATACTGGAGAGGGACAAATCTGTGAAAATATGTATATCGATTGGTCGAATTACTTGCCTTATACAAATTTCTTTTTATGCTATGTTCTGGTCTTCTTGTCAGTAGGACGTTTAAAACACGCAATTTAACATTGGAATTCTTCTTCACACACATGTGAATTCTCTAGCCGATGAATAATTGGTACGCAAACGAAGGATAAGCTATATAGTTTTGCCACATCGGTGACATTTATGTTAGGTGTACTACTAGACAGCTTAGCCAGCCAATGCGTTACTGAACATCTCCCATCGTGGTTTGGCAAAGGACAGACAAAAGCAATCCGTAGCACAATTTTGTCACATTTAGTTGATAGTGGTCATATAGTGGAGAAAACGAGTGCTTTCAAAATGATTCATCGTATCCCATCGAATCTTTCCTATAGACTTCGTATTCGTCTACTGCACACAGCTGAGGCGATAGACATTCAAACTGTTAAACCTAAACTATGTGTTCAAAAGAAGTTCGTACACAGCCATTAATCCCTCCCTTGGCCTATTAAGACATAACCAACTAATGACTTCTACACCACATGCTGTTTATACTTTCAACTCCTCTCTTATCATCCCTCAGTCTTATCACATCTTTATTAAAAACGTGTTTTATTTACTTCTCTTACAATGTAACATTACTCAATCGGTCCATTGGTTTGTTTTTCTTAGCCTTTATCGACTTATACGTCTACCTGAACATTTATTTGTTTAATCCTGCTGTTTTTCATTATTTGTGTTATCACACAGATCGCCACACTTTTGCATCCTTATTATTGACAAAACCATTATTATTATTATTATTACTATTATGACTGATTGCACAATTTATATTCACCATCTTATTATCCTATAGGCAAAACACCATGACTGGTTTATATTTGAATTTTTATTTGTAGAGTTATGTAGGTGTATTAAAATTTTAAGCCTGATGAAATCCTGTAACCAATCAACCAAATTCCTACAAACCAACTGTCTGTCTGTCTGTCTGTTTTCGACATAGAACTTTGCACAAATGTGCGGAAGTTCAAGTCGCCACATTCCGTGTAGCACGCGAAGCAAGAGAAGAAAGTACAAGAAAAGCATAATAGAAACAGTGAGCAGAGGTGTGAGACAAAGGAGTAATAAAGAAATACAAAACAGTTCCATTGAAGATCATAAGTCACAGGGAGTGGATGCATCTGCGCCACTGAGAACGATTTTGAGCCATGTCACCAATTGTTTCCAACCATAGATTTTTACCGTCCCGAGGACCCCAGCCTGGAAGTCTACACCTTCCTACGTGGCTAAGACCAACTGTTGTGGATTTCATTGACTGATGCCAAGTTTTTGTTTGACCGCCGCTAGCTTTTTTCCAGCCTGACCCTATATCCGCTAACATTGCTCGTCGAGGGAGGCGATGGCTTGGCATACGTAACACATGTCCTAACCATCTCAGTCTTTGTAGCTTCACGACTTCGTCGATTGATTTCCCCTGTTTACCTAGAACTCTACGCCTAACCTCCATGTTGCTCACCTTATTATGCCACTTTACACGGGAAATAGAACGCAGGCACCTATGATCAAAGACAGCTAGTCTTTTCATGTCTTCCACTCTCAGTGGCCAGGTCTCACAACCATAAAGGAGGACGGAGCGGACTGATGAGCAGTACACCCGCCCTTTGGTCGATAGTCGAACATCTCGTCTACGCCAGAGTCGGCGTAAACTGGAAAATGCGAAACGAGCCCCTTGTATTCGTGCTGAGATTTCGTCAGAGATCAGCCCGTTGGGGCTGATGGTACTTCCCAAATAAGTGAAGCGGTCAACGTGCTCTACCACTTCACTTCCTATTTTTAAACTAGGCGTCGATGTAGTCCAGTCCTGTAACATCATCTTGCATTTGGCGGGAGCGAATCGCATGCCAAACATTCGTAGATTGCGGCTCAAGGTGTTTAGAAGACTCTGCATTTCGTCAGCGTCTTCGCCTAGAAGGACTATATCGTCTGCATATTCCAAGTCAACGAGATTATTCCCCGGTAGCAAGTCAATCCCTGAATCGCTGAAGTCACCTAGGGTTAAGTCCATTAACACATCTATGATGAAGTTGAATAGAAAAGGAGATAATGGGCATCCTTGACGGACACCACTGGTCGTCATCAGTTCAGATGACAGCTCGCCGTAAGCCCTCACCTGGCTGTATGAGTACGAGTAGAGTGCCTTAATCAGTGCAATATATTTTCTTGGAATTCCCTTTAAAGCCAAGCATCTCCAGAGAACTTCCCGATCGACAGAGTCGAATGCTGCCTTTAGGTCAAGAAATATAATGACTGTTGGACGCCGGTAGGAATGCCTATGTTCTAGAATCTGTCGGAGGGTGAAGATATGATCAATACACCCTCTTCCTGGTCTAAGGCCTGCCTGGCTCTCTCGTGTTTGTGCTTCCCGAGCACCACTCAGTCTACGGATGATTATTGAGCCTAGGACTTCAGATACTATATTAGTCAAGCTAATCCCTCTGTGATTATCACAGGAAGACTTGTCTCCCTTCTTGTATATGGGGATAATCAGTGACTTACACCAACCCGATGGGACTTCTTCTGATTCCCAGACGCTGCCTAGTACCTCAGTTAATCTGGACAGTAAGCTGTCTCCACCGTACTTAAATACCTCTGGCGTCATTCCATCAGGTCCCGCTGCTTTGCCTAGTTTCAGATTGGTGACAGCTTTAGTAACCTCAGTTAGTGACGGAGGACCTGTGTCTATATCCCATTCAGGGAGGTGTTGGATGCTCGGAAGGTTGAGCGTGGCTGTGGGCAAATTAAACTGCTCCTCATAATGCTCTTTCCAACGATCCAGTCGTCTATCCTGTGAGCTAATTATAGTGCCATTTTTTTCCGAGATTGTCTCACTAATGATTTGTCTTCTCCCACCCGTTTCCCTGATGAGTCCAAAGAGTTGCCTGGTGTTGCCTATCCTCAAAGCTTTCTCCATCTCTTTGGCTTTTGTCGCCCACCACTGTTCACGGTCCTTGCGGAGACTTTTCGTAAGTTTCCTCTTGTGCAGCTTTCGCTCCTCATTGAATTCGGAGCTCGCCGGAATAAGTCTTCTAGCATCTATCAGTTCGGATGAGGCGGTGGAGATCCAGTGGTTTTTACTCACCTTTGGGTTTACCTTATTCACAGCTTTTACAGCTGTATCTATGGCTGCCTGGATATTTTTCCAAGCTTCTTCAGGGTGAGCACAGCTGTCGAACACAGATATGTGTTTAGCTAGTTCTTCCTGAAATACGGATTTAGTTTCCTGATCGAGCTGGGGACGTGATGGTTTTACCGCCAGCTGTTTCCTACGTCCGTTCAGTCTTAAGCACACACGAGCGCGGACCAGTGCATGGTCGGTATCTACGCACGTGTTCCAGAAGGAGCGACAATCTCCTACCGACCCACGCCAACGATAGCTTATTGCTATGTGGTCTATTTGTGTCCAGCGTTGGTTTGATGAAGGGGGTCTCCAAGTCAAACAGTGTCTTTCCTTGTGTTTAAAGTTAGTGCTTACAAGAAACAAATGATTATCAGAGCAGAACTGTAGGAGACGGTCACCGTTGTCGGTTCGCTGGCACGGAGCTCCATAGGTGCCACCGACATCCTTCTCAGATTGACACAATTTCCCTACTTGAGCATTAAAGTCACCAGCTAGAACGACTATGTCTGAGCGTTTAGCCTTTCCACCAAACTAGACAGCTTTTGGTAGAACTCATCCTTCGTTTCATCTGAACTGCAGTCAGTGGGGGCGTAGGCGGAGATTACGAAAAGGCATCGGCGAGTAGTGCAGTCCTTCCTCCTTCTTACTGATCCGTTCAGGCGGACAGCACACATTCGGCTATCTACCGGGATCCAGTCAAGCAATGTCTTTTCTGCCCTAGTACTCAAAGCTATCCCTACGCCAGCTAATCCTCGTGAACTAGCTGTGGCATCTCCTGACACCCTCAGGGTGAATTTTGCAGATTCAACCTGTTGGCCAGGTGGGGTTAGGTGAATAACCACACTTGGGTCTTGTATGCGTGTTTCTGAAACACAGCATACATCAATGGCTCGTGATGCCAGGGTCTTGGCTAGTGATGCTTGTTGTCCTATTTGGCAAAGTGTCCTAACATTAAGAGCTCCTATATGAAATTGGTGGCGCGGCTTTAAGAGGCTGTCGGTGGTGGTTTTTTGGCTTCCATCGTTTTTAGTGGACGCAGAGTGGAGAGGAAGTGGAGAGCTATCAAGTCGAGGAGTTGCATCAGTGGAAGGAAGGCAAGATGATAGAGATGAAGATGAAGACAAAGATGAGTGAGTAATAGAGAGGTTTCGTGTGCATTTCGGATTGTGAGGGCGATTGTTACTTCCCGGCTGCCCACACCGTGGAAGTTGGTTGCGTGACCGCAGAGCCCAGGGGACAACTGCTTGAGGCCGGTCACACGCGGCCTGTTTTTGTTCGTTCTTTTTTTTTGGTGTGTCTCAGTAGCAGATTTATCACTCCCGCCCTGTGACACGGCAGCAGGAAGCGCGGTCGTTGTTAATCCGGGCCACGGCCGATCCGGCATGAAATTTTGTAATTTTGTATTGGACATGATGTTGGATTGGGTAGCTGCTTTTTGTTTAACCGCTATCCAAACAACCTGCCTGGCATGGTAGAACCTCAAGAGACATAAGTCTCAGCCAGTATAGCTTGATTAGGTCATTGCGGTGTTCAAGCCCGACCACCACGTCAAGGTAGCAGCTTTCGGTCGGGCTACAAACCAACACTTGAATATCGTTGAGATGCTCACTAGCGACTTACCCTATTCAGGTAGGTAGTTACCTGTGGTTCTAGTGAGAAGTCGTAACCAGCAGGGTGCAGCAGATCAGGTGTGAGGACAAATACTCGCCGAAGACATTGGCTAGGGGTCGCACTATGTCGTGAATTGGCAGAAGTTAGAATTCATGGGTTGGCCATTGGATCGGGTCCCAGTGGCTTAATGGTCTACGAGCTCGCTAGCCTTATAACCAGAAGCTCCTGGGTTCGAACCCAGGCGGTGGGTGCGTACTGCTGGAGAAGAGTCCCAAATTAGGCTGACGAAACAGCTGTTCAGTACTCCCAGCTGGTTTTCCAATGGTTCTCTAACTAATATCAGCTCATGATGAAATCCTGTAACCAATCAATCAAATCCCTACAAACCAACACTTGAGTATCAATAATGTTCGCTTAATTGTGTTGTTCTAAATTTGATAGTTGAATGTACTTCACTGCATTGGGATGTATGCTGGTTTCCTGCCAAGATCATTTTCACATAGTGAAAAATTTTTGATAAGGTTGTTCAAACAACCATTCGGTAACTTATTTGTGTAATGCTAACAGGCTTTAATTCATACTAATGTTTCAATGTGTCTTCTGTTTCCGTATTTTTTTCTTCTTCAGGCTGTGTATTTCTTAATAACGCTGACATTTTTCTGGTCAACATTTACAAAGCGTTATATCGCCTTGTCAGTAGGATGTTTCAGTGTATGTTTAGCAGCGTATAAATTTATGTCTTATATGGCTACACCATCTTATGCTGTCAATGAACGTGGTACTCGTCAATTAGTAGATGCTGGATTAGATTTGAATATAGGATCTGGTGGACTTGGAGAGTAAGTGGTTGCCTTTTTCCAGTATTCTATTGTTTGGTTATTTTACTTTTGAATATGTTGCTTGGCACATTTATTTATTAAGACGTATACTTAGCGCCTTATGAGCACCAAAAGATGCGCTAAGCAAAATCGTTTTATAGTTTTGGGGTCTCCTGACACCCTTAAAGTGAATTTTGCAGATTCACCTTGTTGACCAGGTGAGGTTAAATGAAATGACCACTCTCGAGTCTTGTATACGTCCATGGCTCGAGATTCCAGAGTTCTTGCTAGTGATACCTGTTGTCCGATTTGGCAGAGCGTCCTGACGTTAAATGCTCCTATATGAAGTTGGAGACGTGGCTTTAAAAGGCTATCTGGGGGGTTTCTATGACTCTCACCGTTGTTTATGGTTACAGAGTGAAGTGAACATGACTCACTAGCCTGCAGAATAATACTAACTGTAGTAGAGAAGCAAGATGAGGAAGGTGATGTGAATAAAGGAGAATGATGCTCAGGAAGGCTTCGTGTGCTTTCGGAAGTGTGTGGGCAGTTGTTACTTCCCGCCTGTCCACACAGTGGAAGTTGATTGATTTTTCGGATACCTGAAACAGAAAGAGGGTTAGTGTTGCGTGACCGCAGAACCGAGGGGACAACTGCTTGAGGCTAGTCACACACGGCCTGTATGAACTGGTTTCTGGGATTGGTTCCGTATTAGTAAACTTACCGCCGGTTACGGACCACCGCGGGTGGGGCAAATCGGACTGTACTATTTTTGGGATCGACCTTTTCTAACCCCATCTCTCCGGAGTGGAGAGACAGCATAGCTGGCATGCTGGTTATCTGAGGGAAATACCTCACTGCTGTTACATCCCTGTTCCGCAGCAGTACGACTTCGCCCTCAGACCCCCCGCATAGTGTAAGAAAGATTCTTACACAATGCCAGTAACTGCTTTTTGTCTAATTGCTATCCTAACAACCTTCCTGGCATGGTAGGACCTGCAGGAACATTGGTTCCAGCCAGTGCTTGTTGGGTCATCGCGATGTGCAAGCCCGACCACCACGTCAAGGTAGCAGCTATCGGTCGGGGTTTTATAGTTAGTGAAAGTGATAGGATACTATATGGACGCTCAGACTAGAGTAGGTGGTTGTCTTAAGTGTGATCACTTCTTGAGCTTTCGTCTTGAAGCCTGATCTACATAGCAGTAGGATAGCATCCAGGAGCTACCTTCCTATGGTTGCAATGACCAAAGCAGGTTCATATTTTATTTGGTTCTTTCGGATTCTGGGGCCCATGTACACCACATAGACTTGGAATTAGGGTTTTTTAGCTCCACTTCCTACCAGTGTGGTTGTAAACGTCGAATGTTCGTTAGCGTCGACCCTTTCACTCTTCTGAGGGATAACAGCGCCTCATGAAAGCAGTGAATGATGGGACTTACCTGGTAGAGACTGTGATGAACGTGTGACCACATGAGAGTATTTTGAAAAGACTGAAGCCTTCCCGAATTCCTAACCGTACCAGGTCGTGTATGGGTGCTGTCTAGTACATTATCTCACTGAGAAATTTAAATCATATTTGAAACATGACAAAGTTAAACTTTAAGCACCAGTAAGTATTATATTATTATTATTGTTCCCTTGGGTTCCTAGTGGAAAAGGGCTTCAACTGCACGTCTCCACTTGCTTCTGTCATCTGCTGTACTTCTCACCTGCATCCATGTTAGTCCATACTCTTTCAACTCCTCTTCACACGATCTCCTCCATGTCACCCTCCCACGCCGCTCCCCTTTCGGGTTCCACTCGAGCAATGGCCTGACGCGCGTGTGATGTCACCCAGTGGCCTCCTCAGCTAGTGTCCAATCCATCTCCACTTTCTCCTGCATATTTGTTGGCTGGCGATTGGTTCTTGTTTTGTTTGTTCCCGGTAAGTACCGGAGGATAAATGACCTGGAACACAGTAACCACATGATGAAGACGATTTTCGCGTATAACATAGATATGTTCATGAAAATAATGAGGAATTGATAAGAATGAAACTGTTAAACAGGATACCTGTTCCTGAAGTATGGCAAAAATACCTCTCAGTTTGGGATTGGACTATCAACAAAGTAATTTAACCACATTCTATGCGTGTAATTATCTAGATCTTCTAATCCTAACAACAGTAACCCTAATCTTTTTAAACCTGACCCTAACGTAGAAATATCCATAAACTAACTCAAAACAACCCGCCCCTATTAGGTTAACCTAACTCTAACCTGAAACTGGCCAGGTATCCCATTTAGAAGCATAACACTTCATTAGGCATATTTTATTCATGCCTACATTATTATTTACTAGGTTTCACTGACTTGCTTACTGAGCGTCTCAGGGCCATTGGTACGGTTGCTTTCCACTGGTGTGGTCCTTACTGGTGCTTAAAGTTTAACTTGGCCCAAAACCTTTTATTATTATTATTATTATTGTTATTTGTATTTATTACTATTATTCCCTTGGGTTCTGAGTGGAATATTGCGCTTCAACAACAACACATCTCCACTTTGTTCTGTTCCCTGCTATCTTCTTCAGCTGTCTGGCTCCACGACTGACCATTTCTCACATATGGTCTCCTCCATGTCACCCTCGCACCGATGATCCACTTCTCGCTTTCCATTGGTATTCCATTCGAGTAATGGTCTGCAATGAACGCTGTGTCATTTGACGGCTTCCTTATTGGCGAATGCCCGATCAATCCATCTCCATTTCCTTCTACATATTTGTCGAGCAATCGGCTCTCATCTCTGTTGGTTTGTTCCCGGTCAGAGTTTCTTTTATTGAGTAAAGTCAGTCTAATGCTGGTTGACTGTCGTCGGCAAGAACATTGATACACTTATATACAGCATAAGATTCACAGTGCTACTACTGCTGTCAATTTAAGGAAAGTTACATCTTGTTCAGAACAAATTCCAAAAACTCGAGTAGAGCATGAGGCTGTTTAATCTAAAGAAGCTGACATCATATATAAATATTTACCATCTTGAAACTTACCTTTAAGTTTTTTTTTTAACACCAACAGTTTAAAATTATTACCATCTCTTTATATTAAATTGGGTTTTCAAACTTGTAATCCTATGTGGTTAGGAACGGAGTGTGCTGTGTATGTATGAACATAATAGTAATAATAAGACCTTTATTCTGGACAGTATTTATAAAATGTACAGAATTTTCACGAGAGTTTATTGCAAGGTATTTTCTTTTCGTACAATATCTTCAAGTAAAATATTAATTAATTGACAGTATATTCTTCCTATGACACACAACGGTCTCTGAGCTGAAGCATGAACCATTCCATTATGATATATCTATCTGCTTTGCTTCCTTCAAGAAATCCACAACATCTATTTGAAAGCCGACTGTAAGAGATGTTCAGAAGTACATGTTGAGACCCAATGAATTAACTGAAGAACAGTTACCTCATGCATTGGAACATGTTGCCACCAACAATCAGGTCATTGCTCAAGTTTAGTAGTTAACTTGCAAATTAGAAGCTTGTAAACATTTTAAATACACACACCCAAGAGTAGATAATACAATTAGTGGGGATATCTTAATCGATTAAAACAAACCGAACGAGAGCAAAAGGTATGGGATAGAGAGGTGGAAGTATATTTTGGTAACCCAAGTTTTAAGCAGACTGCCGCCATATTTGTAAACACTAATTTTTATTTTGTATCTTTCGCAATTATCATGAATCGTAACTTTCTTCCGTTGGCTAATCATTAATCCGATTGTTGTAGATTTGAATCTACCGCTTCGATCTGAGTGACTTGTTTAGGCGGTTGACTAACATCCTTGCCTTAGCTTGTGAAACATTTCTCAAAATTAATCAAAAACTTGAGGTGGCCTATTAAGCACTGAGAAAAATGTAATAGTTGTGAAATATTCCCATATCGAATGAATTAAAAGTCATTCTGAAGAAAGAATATTCTTTTCAATAATTTCTGTACTTCAGGTTCTTACAATTATAAAATATAATATTTGTTGTCGTTACAATAAAGGCCAGTTATGCGGCGGATACATTTTTAACGTAGAATAACAGATTAGTAGTTATGGGGTGTCTAAATATAAATAGTCGTATTTGGGTGACACAAACGTGCTAGTTGGCTGAAATCGATTACAAAATATTTCGGTGAAATGGGAGACAATGTTGGTGATTAGTCATAATATACTAGAAGAAAGTAGGGTAGGAAAAATTAGCAAGTCAGTTCAAGGTTATGAAAGGTGTCAGGTGAGTGAGCGGCTAGTACAAAGTGGTCTGTGTTAGACAGGAGATAGTAAGACTGCAATGAGAGGTTCATAATCAAATAACGAATATGTGAAATGAAACACGTGGAGGCATATATTGAGAAAAGAGATAATATCAATAATAATAAGTCCGGATAGTATAAATGAAAAATTCGTTAGTACTGAGGAAATGTTTGCATGAAAGGCATAAATTATGACGAATAACAATAATTGTATTAATAAGCAAAGAAAAAAAGCTAAGAGGGTTATGGGGAAGAAGCACTCTCGGTAAGAAAAAGAATCATTAATCCACGTTTGACCCCGGTAGGAACAGCATATGAACGTGTTCTTTTTGGATATACATTTCCGGTTTAGTCGATCTTATTAAAACAGCTTCAGCTATGTGTAGGAGATGTAGGCGACCTGTACGTGATAACGACATCAAAATTTGGTATAAAACCCTGAAATTTGTGTTGGCGTCTCTTTTCTCAATAGATATGCCTCCACCTGTTTCATTTGACACATTCTTTATTTCACTGTGAACCTCTCATTGTAGTCTTAATATCTCCTGTTTAAGACAGACCACTTTGTACTCACCACTCACCTGATACCTTTTATAACCTTTAACCGACTTGTTTGTCAGTTTTCCTACCCCACATTCTACTAGTCTATTATGACGACTGATCACCACCATTGTCTCCCATTTCACCGAAATATTTTGTAATCGATTTCAGCCTAGCACGAAGTTTGTCACACAAATACGACTATTTATATTTTGACACCCCATAACTACTAATCTGTTATTCTACGTTAAATCATGTATTCGCCGCATAACTAACTGGCCATTATTGTAATTCTGGTTACTGTCTCCTAATGAGTAGTTCATTTTCCTACTAGGTTAGGTCTCCTATCAATTGTGATAAGCTAGTGTATGGATAAATATATAATCACCACTTTGGTCTTTTGTTTCTAACTTGTTTTAAAGTTTATAAATTCAGGTTACACAACTTCCTGCCTACAAAGTGAGGCTGATTGGTGAATGGTACAAGGATTTACTTAGATTTTTACACTTACTCGTGTGTTTAGTGGAGATGTCAGTGACTCGTTATCTGAACCAACAACCCCATACTCTGATGATATTAGTTGATTGGAGGCAATCGGCAGCAAGCCTTGGACCTAAGTTTTGTGCTGGTTGGCACTCACCAGTCAGCAAGGCGTATTTATAACCTTGAAGGAACAGAGATATGAGGGAGAAAGAATAATATTATCGAAGAACACTATAGTTTTATTGGGTATTATATGTCACAAGAAGTGGATTCATCTGCGCCAGCCATTGAGAACTATTTTGAGTCATATTGCGGTGAGAGCAGGCCGTGAGAAAATATGTACAAGGCTGATTTAACAACCAATCACAGCAAAGTTAACGTGGCAAAATATGATTCGCAGATAGAGAACTCTATTTGTCGAGGAATCCCTAAACAACCAATCCGAAGCCTGCGTTTGTCTGCCTAACTTCTGATAAACAACCAATCAGATGACTGCGCTTGTCTACTTGCATAAGCTGTAATAATGTATGTGAAATATATATAAATACGTGTTGATTTTCATAATAAAACGATCTGTTGCCTGGCCCTTGTCTTCTGTTGTTACAATACCACCAATTATCTCCAGCCATTGGTTTCTACCGTCCCGATGACCCCAAACAGGAAGTCTATACCTTTCTACGTGGCTGACTTACAGTAATTGTTGTGGATTTCAGTGACTAGTGGAACCATGTTTTGGTTTGACCACCACTGACTCCTTTCCAACCTGATCCATTCTATGTTAGCTAACATTGCTTGTCGAGGAAGGCGATGGCCAGGCATATGTAACATACGTCCTGAACATCTCAGTCGATGTAACTTCACAGCTTGGTTGATTGATATCCCCTCCTTATCTAGCACTCAACCTATGACTGACCTCAATATTGCTCATCTGCTTCACACGAGAGAAAGAACGCAGATACCTGTGATCAAAAACAGCTAGCCGGGCTTTTCCATGTCTTCCACTCTCAGTGGCCAGGTCTCACAGCCATAGAGGAAGATAGAGCGGACTACTGAGCAGTACACAAGTCCTTTGGTTGATAGCCGGATATCACGTCCCACTTTGAGACTCGAAAGCAGCTTGTACCCATCATTTCAAACGCCATAGTATTATTTCCTCAGGCACGAGGACTATCAAAACGATCTCTCGTGTAACACAGATGTTATTTACACTATCCAATAGGACAAGATGTTCATCCTGGATTCCATTACTAGTTACTACCACTAACCAAAGTATTTTTTATTGTATTTTATTCCTTCACGTTTCTAGCGGAACATAGGCCGCCTTCAAGCTAAAGCTTGGAAGTTTCGGTAGCACTGGTGTTTGTTTTTACCGGATAGGATTGCTAGCCTCGTGCCCAACCTTCCCTCTTTACCAATCTGATTACTGGCTTAGCGAGCGAGGTAAAGCAGTGCATCAGTCGGCCGAGGATCGAACCCCGAACAACGTGCGTGGTCGGCGAACATCCTACTGCTGTGCCACCCACGCAGACCAACCAAAGTATATTCTAGCTTTATTTGTATATTTTCTAAACACTACTCACTACTCACTATCCGTAAACAAGAATCCACTTTATATACGACTGCAATTCAAGAGAGATATACCAAGTGAGATAATTACGAAAAAATTTGGAAAATTAGTTCAAAGAACTTTTAATGCTGGCGAAATACACGTCTTATTCTCTACGCCACCGATGGTGATCGCCTAATTGAAGGATGAAGTACCTAGACTAGACTAGTCACTTCAAATTGTATCTACCAACTCAACCGCGCTTGTGGTGGAGCGAGTTATATCGGCCGCTGCTCTAGGAACTTGATTTTTCGTGCTAGCTCGAGAACATCTCCCAGTATGGCTAAGTAAAGGTGTAGTGAAAACCATTAACAGTTCGATATTGGACCATCTGGTGCAAACCGGCCAAAAAGCCAGCCAGCGTGGGAGAATCCTTCTCTATCATCATCTACTGGGTGCCTAATAAATTGCCAAAACCATCATCGAAGCACTGCATGCTCCAAACACCAGAGGCTATTGCAGTTCATCTCAAGCAACCAGTGCTCTGTGTGCAAAAGAAGCTAGTCTAGCCCCTACTACTTCCCTGGCCTTTAGTGGAGACTATATCTTTCCTAATTTTTCGGACATTCAGCTTATTTTATGTTGATACTATTGAACTGTAATCTACTGACATTATTGATTCGATGTTATTTAAACAGCACCATTAATGTTGTTCATAACACTAATTCATTCATTCATTCATTCACTATAATGTATATATAACTGTAGAGCCTGATGATGAAGAGGTTATGGAAAAGAGTATTCTTTGCTCAGTAAGCATTCTTTTGAACATATACATGTGTATATATTCTTTTGTTGCTGGTATTTCAGGCATGCCAAGGACACAATAATCATGTGCAGTCTAGTCACAGTGTTAAGTTTAATTCATCAATACTTCTGGTTCCTGTTATTAGTTGTAAGTTGTTTTATTTTTTCTCTCTCTCTGTGTTTATTTGTGTTTGTGTGTGTGCGTGCGTGCGCGTGCGCGCGTGCACCTGTTTTTAGTTCACGTTTTCACTGAAATTGTAACATTCCTTCTTATGTGTTTCTCAGTAAGTAAAGTAAATGACTGCCTTCTATCTTGCCCTCTTTTTATTCTCTTCAGAAATTAGATATCTCTACTTTTATTAAATTATAAACTGTCGTGATGTTGTGACACCTGACTGACTGGCTGACTAGTTTCTACGTTAGAACTTCGCACAGATCTTCTAGCAGTTCCAGTCGCCACACTCCCTCCATGTAGTACGCAAAGAGAGATTCAGGAGGAAGATAGTAAACAGAAATGTGAGGCAAAAGGAATAGTAATATGGAGGAACAATAGAATTTTATTGGTTATTATAAATCACAAGGAGTGAATGCATCTACGCCAGTCATTGAGAACGATTTTGAGCCAATCGTATCACGCCTTGTCTCCAGCCATCATTGGCTCTTACCATCCTGAGGACCCCAACCAACCAGTCAGGAAGTCTATACTTCCCTACACGTGACCGGCTGGCTGGCTTAAACTAACTGGTTGTGGATTTCATTGACTGATGAAGCCATGTTTTGTTTTGACCACTACTAGCTTTCTCTTTTCTAACCTGATCAGTGCTATATCAGCTAACATTGCCTGTTTTCGAGGACGACGATGGATGGGTAGGGATGCGTGCGTAATACATGTCCTAACCATCTCAATCGATGCAGCTGATTCACAACCTCGTCTATTGGTTTTCAGTTGGATAAATGACGTCAAGACTAAAGTGTTTAGAATAAATCCGGTAAAGTAAAGTGTCGACGATATACATCGGTAGTTCAGTGATAGAATAAATACTCGTGCCAGCAAGTCAGAGGGTTCGCGTACGACCAACTCACTCGGATACCTCACTTAATCGATAGAAAACTGGCGAAAAGAAGATGGTGGTTAGAAAATCTTACATTGTTGGAGAAAAAAGCACACTAGTGAGCTCAATTATAGAACAAGTAGATGAATAAAAATCCAAATTAATGAAATGATAGTGTAACAGTATGGTATAAAAAATATACAGTAATGAGTTATATTAACTATACGGTTATTTGGATATACAGTTAAAGTCCGTAGCTACAAATTATCACTACAATCCACAGAAGCGTTCACTACTGGAGTCGTGTCTACTGGTAGAAGCTGTTTACCGGTTGTAGAATAGCCCTCGAATAGAACTGTTTGTCTGCCTGTTTTCAACATAGAACTTTGCACATATGTGCGGCAGTTCAAGTCGCCACTCTCCTTCTCTTGTAGCACACAAAGCAAGAGAAGAAAGTAGAAGAAATGCATAATAGAGAGACAGTAAACAGAGGTGTGAGACAAAGGAATAGTAATAACGAGGAACAATATACTTTCATCGGAAATCATAAGTCACAAGGAGTGGATGCATCTGCGCTGTCACTGAGAACGATTTTGAGTCATGTCACCAATTGTTTCCAGCCATTGATTTTTACCATCCCGAGGACACCAACCCGGAGGTCTACACTTCCCTACGTGGCTTAGACTAACTGTTGTGCATTTCATTGACTGATGAGGCTATGTTTTGGTTTGACCACCGCTAGCTCTTTTCTAGCCTGATCCTATATCACCTAACATAGGTCACTATCGACAAAGACGATAGCTAGGCATACGTAACACATGTCCTAACCATCTCAGTCCATGTAATTTCACAGCTTCATCGATTAATTTCCCCTCCTTACCTAGCACTCGGCCGATGCCTAACCTCATTATTGCTCACCGTATTATACCACTTCGCACAGGAGATAGGGCGCAGGCACCTATGATCAAAGACAGCTAGCCTTTTTATGTCTTCCACTCTCAATGGCCAGGTCTCACAGGTGGCCATAAAAGGGAACGGAGCGGACTGCTGAGCTGTACATCCGCTTTTTAGTCGATAGCCAGCTGGATATCACGTCTACGCCAGAGACGGCATAAACTGGCATATGCGAAACTAGCCCTATGTATCCGTGCTGAGATTTCGTTAACGATCAACCCGTTGGGGCCAGGTAAGTAAAGCGGTCAACGTGCTCTACTGCTTCTCTCCCTATTTCTAAACTAGGAGTCAGTTTGGTCCAGTCCTGTAACATCTTCGGATGAGGATAAGAGGTTTCTGCAATAAATCCAAAGTATACAACACGGTTATGAGTGAAGAAAGTAGACAGCATAGACCAATGAGAAGACGAAACGGCCAGCAGTACACGCTGTATTTCAGATTTTACTCGGAAGTTATCTGTATTCCAACATGAATCGTTTTAAACAAAAGTCATATACACTGTCTGTGATTTCAACATCTAACAAAAGAGTGTACAATCATATTGTTACGTACTCCACACCGCTACTGAAATTTCAGCGCTTTTAGCCTCATGCGCTTCACTAGGAACGCGAAGAATTGAAAGGAGACGTTTCGTTCTACGAATTAAGATTGCTGGTAGTCTCATGTTCAATAGGCCCTCTCTTTCCCCCCTGGCTTTATTATCAATATTGCTTAGGGTTCCGAGGCGAACATAAGCCTTCAACAATATTTCTCCATCTTGTTGTGTTCTGTGCACCCCTATTCAGTTGGTTCTACGGTCTCCCATAAACTTTCATCTCTTCTTCACACGATGTCCTTCCTACTGGGGTTACAGTCAAGGATCAGGTGTGCGATGTTACCCGACAGAGTCTCCTCAGTGTGTATCAGCGAGTTTCCATCTGCGTTTTCGTTGGAATGCTTCTTGAACAATAGGTCCATGGTTGGTTCGTTACTATATTTTCTTGTTACTAACTCTTTCTGGCTATCTAATTCTTAGGTATGGAGCCAACAATGGAGGCTGTTAATAGAAATCTATAAATAGCATGTTAGAAATGATTTACATTTTACGAGTTGGTTTGTAGGGATTCGATTTATTTCTAGTGTGTCCACGTATTAGTGTTAGTCAAAGAACCTTTGAAGAAAACCAGGGACTACTGGATAGCTGTTTCACTCCAGTTTGAGTCTCTTCATTAGTAATCTACCCACGACTCCACAAGCAGGGATCAAACCCCACAGGACGTTTAGGTTAACAGACCAAGTCCGTTCACCATCCACTCACTTGGGCCGAAATTCGGTGTCTAGCCAGAGTTAATCTGATACTCACTAGTGACTGATCGGCTGCTAAAGGATGAAATTGCCTGGAGTCCTGGTTAGGTCGGGCGTGAGGACAAATGTTCACCGATGATGACATTGGCTAGCGGTAGGGATCGTGCTAAAGTCGTGAATCGGCAGAAGTTAGAACTCACGGGTCATTAAATCCTAGCCCAATTAGTCGAATGTTCAACGAATTTAGCCTGATAACCTGAAGGTCTTAGGTTCGACCACTGTAGTGTGGAATCGCGTGGGTGCGTACTACTGCGGTGAGAAGCTGTTTGCTAACCAAAATGGTAGACAACAATTTATATCAGTGTTTACGTCCCGAATCGGGGTGATGAGAAAAAAAACAATAACAAAGGTTAACCTTGAGGAACTCACCAATCAATCACAGCAGACTTAATGTGTGCAAATATGATTCGCATGTGTGGCCCGACCTTCTCCGGCCACAAAGTGATTACAGAATAACCTTCAGCAAGAAAACAACCAATCCGAAGATGTTGCTTCTCTGCTGATAAGAACGAATAATCATGTACATAAAAATCTTTAAATATCTGTTGATTTTCTGAATCAACGATCTGTAGCCTGGCGCTTGTCTTCTGTTGTTACACTACTACTAAAGACTCAAACTAGGCTCTAATATTTTCTAGATAAAACGCGAACTACTTATTCATGTTTTAAGTAGTAATTGGTTTTATCGTTTATTTTCTTGTTTTAATTCACTCTAATTAAAGATTCCAGGACGCTTATTCTATGTCCTTTGGGTGAATATACTTGCTCCGTGGATATTTGATCCAAATCAACAACCACAAGTGAACGAGAAGAAACAAAAGAAAATGGAACGTAAAATGAAACGTGTTGGTCATTTGATGCATGGATCAGATCGATCAGCTGGACGGGCTAATTAAAGGTTGTGGAGGTGGGGACTTTTGTAGTTGGAATGAAGAGATGACGGTGACGTATTACTCTAGGAGTCTTGCCATCCTATTTATTATTGCCACTGGTTTCTTCTGTTATTCTTCTTCTGCAGTTTAACCTTTATGACGTGATGATCTGAGATGTTCTACTTTTCCTGAGGTACTGTGTTCAACTTACTGGGGGGTTTATTTTGTAGTTTACTCTGTAGATGTACAGTTTTCAAAGTGGGCGGTTTTCTTTCTTATTTAATACTATCATTATTATTATTATAAATATTATTGCCACTACCTTCATAGTGAATAGCAAACTCATTTTTGTCTTTTGTGTGTATGTATATAGTTACTTTCTGTTTGAGTGTATGTTGGTTGACTGAGAGAAAGCGCGCGCGCGCGCGAGAGAGAGAGAGAGTACCTTTCATCAGCTCTTTATCGATATATCTTGCAAAGAAAAGCGTTTGATTACTGAATATTTTTATCTTTTTATTTACACATGTAATGTGTTATTCGATATCATTTTTGAACATATATATTTTAAAGAATGTGTTTATTATTGTTTCCTTTAGTTCCTAGAGGAGGAAAATAGGTCTTCAGCCGCACGACTCCATTGCATTCGGTTCTCTGTTGACGTTTTCATCACCTGGCTCCATGTCTGCCCGCATGCATGCCTTCATCTCCTCTTCTCAGCATGACCTTCTCCTCCATGTCACCCTCGCACTGACGACCAACTTGCCGCTTCCTATTCACGTTCCACTCGATCAATAGCCTGGAGTGTGATGCCACTCACTTGATGGTTTGTTTTCTCAGAGTATGGCCAATTCACCTCCATTTCTTACTACATATTTGTTGCGCAATTGGTTCCTGCTGGGATGGTTCGTTCCCTGTTGCTGATCATTTCTGGCCATCTGATCTTGACCGAGGACAGCTGTTGATGGAGGTCTGTTGTTTGTTTGAAGTGCCATTCGTGACACGTCAAGTCTCTGATCCGTATAGCACTGATGACTTCACATTGGAGTTGAAAATCCGAATCTTATTTTTCATGTTGATTGCTGAGTGTTGATCTCCACACAGATTTGAGAGTAGTGAAAGCTTGCTTTGCTTTCCCGATCCTCACGCTTTGATATCCTCGACAGTTCCGTCCGCCTGTAGTTGAAACGATGCTTCCCAGGTCAGTAGGTGAAGGAGATGGCTTCTTTCAGATTCCTCCCATTTGTGCTGATTGTTGTCTGTTGTTGTCGCTGTTATTGTTGGCAAGAAATCTTCATCACCTACCTCTGTTTTCTCTATGTTCACCTGAAGTCCTTGCTATCTTTGATGCTTCTTGTGCCAACTTGTTGCTTTTCATCACTTGCATATCTTCCTTCAGTTTATGGGAAAATCAGACACATATATCATGTCGGCGAAGTTCAGATCCCCCAAGTTGTTTTTGTGTGGGTCTATTTTATGCCTGTTTCTTTGCTACCCGATGTCTGTAGAATGTATACACACAATATTGTGTATTCTACATTTGATTAACTGCCTGGTTAAAGGAGAATGATGATCAAGAGGGGCCTCCCTGTGCTTTTGGAAGTGTGTGAACGGTTGTTACCCCGACGGACAACGGCTTGAGACATACTGGTCACACGTGACCTGTTTGGACTGGTTTTTTAAGTTCGGTTCCGTATTAGTAACTTATCGTCGGTTACGGACCACACTGTAGAGTTAGTTAGAATGTGAAATTCTTGTAGTCGACTTTTTCTAACCCTCTCTCTCCAGTCATGCTGGTCATCTGAGGGAAACACCGTACTACTGTTAATCCCCTTTTCTCCAGCAGTACGATTTAACCTACCAACGCCCAGTATAGTGTAAAAGGGAATCTTACACTATGCCGGTAACTGCTTGTAGTTTGTTCGTTATCCTAACAATCTTCCCGGTATGGTAGGATCTGCAGGAACATTAGTTCCAGCTAGAGTAGTTTGTTGGGTCATTGCGATATGCACCACGTCAAGGTAGCAGCTATTGGTCGGGTGTTTATATTTATGCCTTGTGAGAGATTATATGAAGAGTTGTTTGCGACTATAACGTATACGCATGGAATTGATGTATCGACCTAATTATCTACGTGGCTGTTTGCATTTCTCTCACCACATTTATTGATCTATAACCAAATTTTCTCTCACGCTGCTTATGACCTATGAAATCCTATTGGTTGTTCACTGTCTTGATCCATCGATGACGTCAGTACTTCCCAAGGTCATTTTAAACACATGTATATAAATATGCAAACGCCGTCAACGTCTTTTTGGACTGTTGTTTGAGACAGTGAAAACTATCTTACCAACGTCCAGTCTTCTCATTTTGTCTTTTGAGGCCTGGCAGCAGTGTTACTGTTGTTGTCGTTGTTGTCGTGCGATTACGACTGATTAGCCAGCACACTTAATTCGTATTCGCTCATCATTAGTCTATTAGATCGTAGTTCCGGTCGTGTCAGTGATATGTATCCACATATATATATTTATGTGTGTGTGTGCATGTTGGTCTCTCTTTCTGTTTGCTCGGTTAGTATGTGACCACTTCACTTGTATGGACTTGTCTCCTTTAATAATGTGTATTCTCCTTATATTATATTATATATAATATGAGTGTTTGTTGACAGTCCGTTGCTTGGTGACATATATCCATATATGTTTGTTGGCATGTCTGTTATATTCGCTATGTATAATTGGATCGACACTCCATTATAATTAGCCATTCATGTTAAGACTGTCTAATGATTTTTCCCACGCTTGTCTGAATTATTTTATATATATTCGCATTCACAATTTGTGTGAACTACTTTACTTTACAACTACTTGACTTGCTTACCACTTTGGTGTGAGACCATTTATTTTCGTCTCCTTGTGTTTGGACAATAGAAGTATCATCGCAAACCTAGTGGTCTTCTGATTTCCGCCTTCTCGCGTCAGGACTATTAGTTTCTCGACCAGTCCATAACAATAATTCTCGACGAGTACATAACAATTTGGCGACGGGAAAAACTACTATTAACCACTCAGCAGCAGCAACATAACAATTTACTATGGATTATTCTAAATTGGAATTATTGTTTGAACAACAATTGAAATTAATGGAAATGTTCGTCAACCAACAGACTGGTCCAGCTTCACCTTCAAGCAATCCCAATCATACCATGCTACCATCTGTCGACGGCATTGTGAACAGTATTTCACAGTTCAATTATGACCCAGAGGCTAATGTCACTTTTGACACATGGTATCAACGTTATGAGGATTTATTCACTGTTGATCTCACCTCACAAGACGATTTTTTTATTTTTGATTACAGCTTGATTCCACACCGTATTTTTGGTACAAGTATGGAATTTTCAGCGTGGATATCGGTAGCCCAAATTTCGCAGGCCGACCATAGATATCAAGTGTGCGTCGGCGTGGGCTCGAACCCCGGACCATGTGCATGGTCGGCGAGAGTCCTAACCACTGTGCCACCGACGCACACAATATGCTAGTACCTCAAACACTGACAAGAAATACAGTCAATTGCGAAAATCCTCAAAAACTATTCGGATACTCCTTTGTGGATTGAGGTGAATTTTCAAGTTGCTATTTAAGAATTCACATTGATTCACTTTATTTTTTAAGATATTTAAGTAGTTCTTTTCATACTTATCGCATGTGGTTTCCAAGCTACCTTTTGTGTGAAATTGAAAAAATAATTTAATATCGAGCACAAAACTAATGTGTACGTTGGTGAAATATTTTACTGTGCTAAGACAGGATTCAGATTAGCGAGATAAAGGGCAACTGAAACATGAAGTAAAATATATTGAAACACTGAAATACATCTGGAGTTAGTATATGAGAATCGATATAATGAGCACAAACTGATTGGTTTAAGTTGGATGAAGAGCCAATAGACCTTAACAGTTCAAAAGACAAGTGTCCAAAGTTTTGCTTTCTTCAAAATCCGTGTAGGCAAATCACTAGAATATTAGGCATTCCATGCTAGTCTAGAACTTGTAGCAGGACTGAAAAAGTTTTTTATTTTAATGTGACAAATATTAACTGTTTGCATAACTACACATATTCATATGTACCTTCTAATGGTACAAGATGAAATTAGATTGAGAAGTGTTTCATACTACGAACCTGAAAATCATACAGTTTTCTACTAAAAGAGATTATAATGGCTTCCTGAAAAAAATTTTCGATGCCTGGAAGGTGCGAGTTTTGCTACGTAAATTGGGTCCGGCAGAATATGAACGGTACTGCAACCTAATTTTACCACAGAAACCACGTGACAATTGTTTCGATGATACAATAAAGTTGCTGCGTGAACATTTCGGAGACCACTCCTCATTATTCAGTATACGTTATCGTTGCCTCAAGCTGGCAATGAATGAAAATGATGATTTTCTTACTCACGTTGGCACAGTCAACCGAGAATGTGAGAGATTTCGACTCAGGTCCTTAACAGATGATCAGTTCAAAGCCTTGATTCTCATATGCAGTCTCCAATCTCCTCGTTTCACAGATATCCGAACTCGACTGCTCAATCAGCTAGAACAAAATCCCAAGTTAACATTACATGACATAGCTGATGAATATCAACGGCTGATTAATCTGCAGAAAGACACACACTTGGTCGAATCAACACCTCCGAGAAGCTCTGATATTCGTGCATTACGCAAGAGCAAAAATCTCTCATCAGCTACTCCTGACCCACCTACTTCTCCTAATGTTCCGCGGAAATCTACAGATACTCGTCCAACTTCACAAAATACTGCAAAGAAGACCCCACCATCACCATGCTGGCATTGTGGCGCGTGGCACTTTGTAAAGTCTTGCCCATACAAAAATCATCGTTGCAGCAAGTGCAAAATCATCGGTCATAAAAATGGTTTTTGTCAGCCACGCAAACCCAGATATCATAATCCAGCAAAAGCTCAACAAAATGTTGGTCCTAAATCCCCCAAAAAGTCATTGAGTCTACGCGCA